GCCTGGCTTTGAACTGTGATCCTCAGATCTCAGCTTTGTGAGCAGCTTAGATGTGAGCCACCAGAGCCCAGCATCAATTTTTTTGTTTTCTTTTTTTAATGCAAAGAAAGGAAAATTTAAGCAAGAAAGGAATTTCATATTTTTACAGTATTTTAAATGTGAGAGATAGTGTGAGAGTCATTTCTTTATTTAATTGAAAAGCTGAATATTGCCAACAAAGTGAACATTTGTGAACATTCAACAATTTATAAGAAATAGGTAGAATGCGGAAGAGAAAAGATCATGATAAAAGAAGCAAAAATCATCTTTCCAGCCAGAATCAAAGGAAAAGAAGGAGAATGAATTCAAAGAAACACCAAAAAGTGACAGAGAATAAAATTAGAAGCAGACATCTGAGGAGACTGTAAGACATCTTTCAAACTAGGCATGGTGACAGACACCTGTCATCTTAGCAATGGGAAGGTTGGGGCGGGAAAATCATAAATTTGAGGACAGCCTGGACTACATGAGGGATTTTGTCTCAAAAAAACCCAAAAAACCCCAAAAGCAGTTTCTTTTAACCAAGAACTTACTCTAAGCACAAAGGGCCTCAAATAATGTAAAGAGGGAGAAATATGGTCCTTCAGATAAAAAGGCTGTATTTTCACTGTGTACAAAGGCTCATGCCTATAATCCTAGGTACTCAGGAATTGGAAATCAAGAGGATTACAGTTTGAGGACAGTCTGGGCAAAAAGTCTGTGAGACCCGCAGGGTGTGGTATTAGTAGGAAGCTAAGGAAACACTAACAGGAGTGTGGTTCTAGAAGAGCCTAGACACAAAAGTTTGAGAGACCCATCTCAACAGAAGACAGGAGGTATGATGATATGTACCTGTCATTCCAGCTGCAGTAGGAAGTATAACAAGGGAGGACTGAAGTCCAAGTGTATACTCACAGGAAAAGGAAGACCAACTGAAAATAACTAGCGCAAAATGAGCTAGATGCATGGCTTTGCAGTAAAATGCTTGCCTTGTAAGTGTGAGGATTTGAGTTCAAACCCCAGTACTGCTAAATAGTCTTATTTCTAGATATTCCCCTTAGAAAGAGCAGGATTTAATAGAGAATAGAATGACTTAAAGTTCCACAAATACCTTAGAATGAAAAAGTAACAGAACTTTAACACCTTTGTAAAGTGATTGGGGAACTCAAATTCTCAAAACATCTTAGTGATACAATAACAAAGCAACAATTTTGGTATTTCATTAGTTATTTTGCTTAATACTCATGCTAGATATGGTGTCTGTCCATGATTTTCTAACTCCTGTCCTGTTGCTTTTAGCCAGAGAGATGTTCAACACTTTGTCATTAGAGTAGGGGAGTTGTAAAAGGTTAGCTTAAAGAGTATGAATCAGCCTACAATATAATGAAATTATTAGGATAATGACCAAACGATGAATTGAAGGTAGTCAGAGTCTAGGGCAAGAACTAGGAAACTGGCTTGAGTAACTTCAACATAAATGAGCCTGACTTTGGATTAGTATCAGAAGCAGATAAATTTGACATTTCCCTAATTGCCTTACAACTAAAGTTTTGGTGTGGGCTAGTTAAGTAGTATCTTCGGTTAGGTATACCTGTGAGGGATTTTTAACAAATAGAGACCATTTTGTGCTCCTCTGGTCTCTGTTTCTTTCCTCCCCCCCCCCCCCCCTTTATCACTGTGGTTTTTTGGCATTATAACCTTAATAGAGCTTGATCCTCTCAACTTTTTAACAATAATCTAATCACTAATCCCTCTCCCCCCTCAATAAATCTGTTCTGTTTCTGGGAGGTAGAAACGTTTCTGTTTTCTGCATTAGGGTGTATGGTTGTATTAATATTTAGTGTCTATAAATAGGGCTGATTTAGCAAAACTTGATGTTTGTTGCACTGGCTGGGTAGTCAATTAATATTTCTCAAGCCAACAGGAAACAATAAAGCGACGAAGCTAGAGTAGGAATTATTACCTTCCATGAGCCAAAGATCAAAGGAAAGAAGTAGTGTTACTGAACCTTATTAGAGTTGAAGCAAAACAGAAAATATCTCAATGAAAGTTGTTGCTTTACCTAGAGGAAAGTAGCCACATTTAGAATGGGAAGAAACAATCAGGACAAACACCCAGATGAATCTGAGGCACACATGCAGAAAAACATTGCCAATAATAACACCAATCTTTCACTTATATACCAGGTTATTAAATAAGACATGGACTAAAGAAGAAATCAAAATGGAACTCAGAAAACTGCAAGACAAATACATTCCAGAGTTCATGAGACACAGCCAATGCTGGACTCATAGGAACATTTATACACACACACACACACACACATATGTGAACTGTGATCCTCAGATCTCAGCCTCCAGAATAGCTAGGATTACAGGCATGAGCCACCAGTGCCCAGCTCATTTATACTTTTATAAATTATTGTCAGTATTTAAGTTCTTAAGTCATGAAGCTAGAGAAAAACACAGAGAAGAAATACATAAAAGAAGAAAAATTCAAAAGTTAAAAACCATGGAGCTAATAAAATCAATAATTTATCTGGTAAATTGAAAGTCTGGACAAATCTATACAAGATAAAAAAAAAGCTAATAATAAAAAGGCACAAGCCAGGCACCTGTGGCTCAAGCCTATAATCTAGCTAGCTACTTAACAGGCTAAGATCTGAGGTTTTGATTTGAAGCCAGCCTGGGCAGATAAATCCAAGAGACTCTTATCTCTAATTAACCAGCATAAAGCAAGAAACAGAGATGTGCCTCTGGTGATAGAGTAGTAGCCTTGAACAAAAAAGCCAAGCTACAGCATGAGGCTTTGAATTTAAGTTTCCATACTGACACCAAAACAAACAACACTCCCAAACTAAGAAGGCACAAATACATGCAGTATGTAATCAGATCTAATCAATGAGACTAAAAACTAAGAGGCCACTAAGAACAGTTTATGCAAATAATTTTGAAAACCTAGACAGAGAATAATATAGGAAATATTTACTGAATGCTTATAATGTGCTATTTGTCTGAGTAATGTATTTATATTAAATTATTTAATAGTAACAACTACTGAGATACTGGTATGTCTACTTACAAATTAAAAAACCTAAAAAAAAAAAACAACTTAAAAAATCTGAAGCATAGAAAAATTATGTAACTCACCCAAAGTCACATTAATACATAGTTGAGCTAGGGTTTCTTATATGGTCCAGCTCCAGAGCCCATTCTGCTTTTCAGAATAAAAAAAAATTTAGAGGGACTGGGAATATGTTTTAGTGTAGAGTGCTGGCCTAGCATGTATGAAACCCCTGGGTTCGATTCCTGTGTACCACATAAACAGAAAAAGCCAAAAGTGGTGCTGTGGCTCAAGTGGTAGAGTGCTAGCCTTGAGCAAAAGAAGCTCAAAGACAGTGCCCAGGCCCTGACTGGCAAAACAAAAACAAAAACAAAAAAAAACACCCAAAACCAAAACCCCCACAAAAACCACCACCAACAACAAAAACCCATACAACATAGAGTTAAGAATAGCTATCTTTCAGTGGTGGGAAAACATGTAATTTTAATTTTCAGTTTTATTTTTCATAATAAAATGTTTTTGATCACTCAGTACTGTTATATTTAAAATCAAAGAAAATAACAAAATACAAACACCCAATTTCCCTTATCCTAAAATTTTGAGCAATCTAGAATTCTCTTTTAACTTCCATATTCAATCTGTAACCATTTCCTTGATTTTACCTTAGAAATGTCTGTTCAAATTATTATTTCATTAATTTTCCTCTTATTTCCACAATTCAAGTCCTTGTTTTTTCTAATGAACTGCTGACATCCAGGCTATTACAGCAAAATGATCACAATTTTCCCCCACTAATTCTATACTGAGGCTCTTTACATGGCGACCATCCACACTCCAGCCCCTAAAGATGTACACCAGGTACACTCACATTTCCTATTCTTGGCATACTCAAAGCTCTTGTTCTCTAATACATTTCCCCCTTCCATCGTTCCATTTGGATTTATAGATATCATTTATTGGGTATAGCCTTTGAAGGTGGCAAGAACAGACAGTCTTTTCCAAATTACGTATTTCAACACTTAATGTTCTGTACTGAAAAGTACCTCCCTATCCTGTTGTATAGCATGAGACATTTCTATTACAATTTTTTGAAATCTAGCTGGATTAAAGTATCACATATACAACACACACAATACATGCAATACCAATCTACCTACCTACCTACAGCATGCGTACATACATACATGGGTGTGAGTTTGGAACTGTCTGCTGAGGAGAAAATGGCATAAAAAAAACACATGATTTTTTTTTTTCGTTCAAGATGGCAGAGAACGTCTTAAAATAGTCCTACACAAAAGCACCGTTACCCAGAGCTTTGATTCAGAAGTAACTACACCTAGTGCAAGAGCAAAGGACAAAAGGGTACAACCTAGATCCAAGGATGCCCGGGTCCTAACCATCCATATCCGAAATCACACTTATGGACTTTAAACTCCGTTACAAAACTGGCACACCTGCTGCCTTCATTCCAAAGACCACGCCTTGACGACGACGGTGACCTCTCCCCACACACCCCCAAAAAACCGAGGACGAAAATCGAGGAAGGCTAAATTGAACTAAGGGAGTATGTAGAACGCACGTTCCGGCCCCGCCCCAGAGAGATGCATTCTCGGGGTACAGCCATCCCAGTGCAGGCATGGACGGGGCTCCCGCCCAAAGGCCGGGCCACCAAGCCACCAGTGGGAATTCTGGGCGGGCCTCGGGCAGAGGCGGGCAGCGGCGGGCAGCGGCCGGCAGCGGCCCAGACCCCTCAGCATACACCTGTCAGGCTGCAGCCAACATTAGGCCCGGAAATCACGGGAGGTTCGGTGGATCAGGCCCGCGCATCAGCCAGTGCCCTAACCCAGCCAACTCGCCTTCTGTGGTGTCCTTTATTACAGACAAAGGCGATCCACACTCACCGCCATTTTTCCCCTTACCTCAAAAACCACCTCTTCGTCGAACTCCGGTGTCATCCTTCTCCGCCATGCCACCCGCCTCGGCACGATGGGAAATGAAGGCAGGAGGGCAGGCGGCACCAAGATTTCGCCTTCGGTGGGTCCCGCGGATCTTAGCAACTACAACTCCCGGCATGCCTGGCGGCCCACGCCCCTTTCCCATCTGTTTATTGGAGCAGAAGGTGAAGTGGTGGCAGCCGGGGGGCGGGGATAGGAGGCAACTCTCGTCTTCTGATTGGAGGAGGCGGAGGCTTTTGTCTGCCTTTTTCGGCCGCGACTAGTAGGGGGCGCCCCAAGCACAGGTTTGTATTTCACTTTATTTATTTACTTATTTATTTATTTATTCATTTACTCACTTATTTATTTATTTCTTGTGAGGAGGAGCTGGAGCGGTGCGCGCTCTGGGCGAAGCGGCGGCGAAGTGAGCTCGCGGCCGCGCGCCCGGCGGTGGGACCTGAGCTCAGCCGGGCGGCGCTCGTGCTCGTCCGCCTGCGGGGTTTGGAGACTCCCACCCGGGGAGCGCGGCTGGGTCGCCGGAGCCGGCTGCGTCCTTTGTGCGGCGCTCCGGCGGCGCAGCTGCGGGACGGGGACGGCATGTGGACGCCGTGGGGGTTTCTCTCCAATGCCCAAACTCTGGAAAGAGCGCTCTGCGAGGCGAGCATGGTGTGAGGGGCGCGCGCCGGGGACGCGCACCACACGGGGCAGTCATGACTTCGGCCGCCGCGGGTAAGTGGTCGCGCTTCGGACCGCGTCGGGAAAGTCGGTGGCGAGCGCGGAGGGGGCTGGGGCTCGGGAGCAACTTTCTTTTCGGGGAGGTGGGCGCCCCATCTTTCCCCAGCACCTCGACAGAGCCGATGGGCTTTGCTGCTGGACGTTCTTCTCCGTGTTGGAGGTCTGGGGACCTCCCTTGCCAGGGAGAATCCTGGGCTGAGGGGAGCGGGTGGGGCGCTTTCCTGCAGGTAAAGAAAGACACAGATAGAAAAAACCAACCCCCCACCCTCCGCAAAACACATTTGGTTCCTCTCCTACGGCGAGAGCGACTTGGCGGCTGCACGCACGGACAGCGGAGACTCCCGGGCTAAGAAATCATTTATTCTAGGACCGGGCAGTGTTGTTCCCCGCGCGGGGCCCGAGCGGCACCCGCAGGGTCTTTCTACCGTGGCCCGCAAACATTGTGTTACCTGAGTCGTGCAGGGGTAGGGTTTTTGTTTTGTTGTTTTTGTTGTTTTTTGTTTTTGCTCGTCTACACCCAATCCCACCCCCTGCCCCCTTTTCAGCTTCTACCTGACTAGTGGAAACAAAGCCTTATTTTCCATCTGGCTACGATAGACATCTCCCTCATCCAAATGACCAAGCCTCTAACTTACTGCCTTGGTGTCGATTTTGAGCAAGTCTGGTGTGGTGGAACATTCTTAGGGAACGAGTTTTGCTTTCTAAAATTATCCAAGTTATAGGCACTTCCTAAGGATATAAGTTACATGTGAAACCAGAACTTAACAATATATCGTTTTTGAATGGCTTTTTTTTTTGGGGGGGGGGTGGAGGGGGGCAGGTTGAAAGAAATGTTGATTCGAAAATTTCTAGTAAAATAGTTTAAAGCATTTCCTCCAAGTTGCACTTGTAGTCAGCCTGTAAAATATGAGACTACATTTTCCTTGCTTTTCTTGATGTTTGTTTAAAATTTCTGCAAGTCGAAACTGTCAAAAAGTAAGCACTCTGAATGTTCTGAGTATTATTTCTAAAGTTTCAGTGTTACTCAGAGGTTGCATTGCTAAGGATAAGCAGATTACAAGTTATCAGGCAAGAAGTTAGCCAAGAGAAATCAAAAAGCAAGAAGTGATACTTTCCTGTAGAGATGGTGTGGGTCTTTTCTTTTTGAAGTTATGTGTATGTATTTGATAGACGTCATCATGCACTATTGTAGTTATTTTTAAACTCTTTTCTTCACTACAGGGAGGCTTTCCACTTGCATAATGAATTATTTTCATCCTAAGTTTCTGTGCCTCATCGTCCACATTTTCTTTGTTACTGAACCAATATAATAATTTAAAATGAAATTAGAAATTTTAAAGTCTTTTTAGTCAATTATTATAGTTCTTTCCTTCTTTAGGTTTTAGATGTACTTAAACTGTCCATACTTCATTCAGTTCTAGCCTTAACACTTTATGATGGACAGGTTACAGAAGCATATATGTAAACTTGACTGTTTGGGCCCAGGCTGCAAGCTTATGATTCATTCAGATTACCATAGAATAATGTAAGCTATTTTATATTTTATCAACTTTACAATTTAAAAAATCCACAGACATTTTTGTGGTATTTAAAAGAAGGACATTTCCTGTGTCTAGCTAAGTTTTTTTTTTTTTTAAGGCATGCCTTGCCAGAAAGCTTTAACTACTTTTTTGTTCTCCTATCTGATAAGATGTATTATAATTCTTTCTGTGTCCAAATGGGGAATATGGAAGGGGAATGTTGTTTTACTTCCATCCTATTTCTATTAACCTATATATACCTTGTTCTTACAAGTTATCTATGATTAATTTTTGGTATAATAGTCCAATTTATTAAATTGTTGGGGAAAGGTATTTACAGTTGAGGAAGGAGATGTTTAAGTGTCATCTATTATGTTTGGGAAAGTTGCTTTAATGTAAGAAAATAAGAGGAATGTTGTAGAACATCTAAGTTGCATCATTCCTGCAGAAGAGCTTGCTTTTTTTCCTTCCTCTGACTCTGAATGGGGCTCCTAGTAGAGACTTAAGAATGATTCAAGTAGTACATGAAAAAGAAGTGATAATTATAGGGCAGAATTTGAATTTGTGTGTGTAAGTGTGTTCCTGTACAGGTCACTTCCTCATTACTGTCTGTGCTTTGCTTTTTGGCTGATCCAACAGCCAAGAGGGTGTACATGTGAACCACAACCATCTGTGTGTAACAGATGACAAGTATGTTTATAATAGTAAAATGGTATGAGTGAGTACTTTACTTTCTTACCTTAAATTTCCCTGTAACCAACCAGCTGTATAAACAAAAGATTTGCTACATTCCTGTAAAGACGCTATGAGTATGACTGTTGATACAGTTTAAGATCCAAAGGTGCTGGAATCATTTCCCAACAGCTTCCATTTACTTCAAGAATTTAATATTGACGACCATAATATAATGGCTCCTGCTATTTGGATGTTGTGTCTCTTGCACAGTAGAGCCATTAAAAACTAATGATAATGAAAAGGGATAGAAATTGCTGTAGTAGTAACTTGATAAACACTTGTTCTATTAGTCACTAAGTATATGTAAATATTAGAATAATATCATTACATAGTTTATCAAATGTTAATTAATATTTAATCCTTTTAAAATTGATTCTATTTCCTTTCTAAAATATTACTTGATATTCGATTGAATATTGAATTTTTAAAAAAGAAACTTTTGGTCACTAAGACATGAGTATGTGTATATGATAGGGTGTGTGTGTGTGTGTGTGTGTGTGTGTGTGTGTGTGTGTGTGTGTGTGTGTGTGTGTGTGTGTGTGTGTGTGTGTGTGTGTGTGTGTGTGTGTGTGTGTGTGTGTGTGTGTGTGTGCTGGTCCTGGGGCTTGAACTCAGGGCCTGAGAGGTGTCACTGAGCTTTTTGTATTCAAGGCTAGTGCCACCATTCCACTTTTGGCTTTTTTGATGCTTGATTGGAAATAAGATACTCACAGATGTTCCTCCCTGGGCTAGCTTTGAAGTGTGATCTTCAGATCTCAGCTTCCTCAATAGCTAGGATTAGAGGCGTAAGCCACCAGAACCTGAGTATAGCGGATTATTATTTTTTTTTTGGGTCTGGTTGTGGGGCCTGAACTCTGGGCCTGGGCGCTGTCCCTCAGCTCTTCAGCTCAAGGCTAGCACTCTACCACTTGAGCCATAGCGCCACTTTCCGGCTTTTTTCTTTTTTGCTTATATGGTGCTGAGGAATCGAACCCAGGGCCTCAGACTTGCAAGGCAAGCGCTCTACCACTGAGCCATCTTCCCAGCCCCTAGCGGATTATTCTTAAATCCTGTTTTCGGTATTAGGATATATCAGTGAAAGAGACAAAGTAGTTCCTATTCGGGAGTTGCCTTCTTGCCATGAACACAGTCATAGGTACACTGAAGAATATTAGTACAGGACAGAGGCCACACATATCAGGGTTCTCTTGAAGCATCCCAAGAGTTAAAATCTCATAGGAGTTAAAAGACTCCTGCAGGTTCTAGAGGGAAGTGAGGCAGGCAGCTCTGCACAAAGCTGCTCCCTCAGTTATGTTGCTGGCCTCCTCCAATACACAGCTAATCTACAATGGCAAGCCCAAGTTCACAGTTCCCTATTTAATTCAGTGAGTATACATTAAGGAAAAGCTTTAGGAACATGCCATGCTGTATTTATTGAGAATTAACTTCATCTCAAATGTAGTTAATTTCTGTGACAGGAATTTGTCTCTCTTGGAAGCAGACTCAAAAGAACTGAAATTTTTTTTCTTTGTCAGTCATGGGGCTTGAACTCTGTGCGTGGGCTCTGTCCCTCAGCTCTTTACTCAAGGCTAGCACTCTACCACTTGAGCCACAGCACCACTTCCAGCAGGGCCATAGTATCTCAAAAAAAAACCCAAAAAACAAAAAACCACAATTCAGGCAATGTGGCTTAGTAGTAGTAGAGTGCTTGCCTAGCATGCATGAAGCCCTGGGTTCATTCCTCAGTACCATATAAACAGAAAAAGCCAGAAGCAGTACTGTGGCTCAAAGTGGTAGAATGTTAGCCTTGAGCAAAAGAAGCTCAGGAACAGTGCCCAGGCCCCAAGTTCAAGCCTCAAGACTGGCCAAAAACAAACAAACAACAACAACAACTCATAAAATACAGTACACAATTTTAGAAATGATTAAACTACAAAGCAAATTTTAGAAGGGTTAAACTAAAAAAGCAAAAACAAATTGATTAAATGACCCTGAACCTTCTGACATTGTCCTGACATTCATGAAGTAGAAGATTAATTATATGAATTATGGTTTAAAAAGTATATATATATATATATTAATATATAACATTATTCGTCATTATAACCTTTTTTAAATGTACAGTTCAGAAAAG